ACCCGCTTTGATTGCCACTCTCCCCAGTAGTTCTCTTCTCGGGCATGGTTATCAGCTAGCTTTTGCTGTGAAACAAACCCCTCGAAGCTCAGAGGCTTAAAACAACAGCCATTTATTTAATTAACAGTTGTTGGCCTTTGGCAGCTTGGGCTGGGCCATCCTGCTTGTGTCAGCTGGACTCTCACGTGTCTGTGGTCAGCTGCTGCTGGTGACCTGGGTGACAGGACCTCTAGGAGTGGGCTGGCCATCAGCTGGGGCTACAGGGATGATTGGGGCATAAGTCTCATCTGCTTTGTTCACATGCGGGCAGCGGGCTTCCAAGACTAGCAAGAGTCCAGGCCCCAATGCATAAGCACCTTCCCTGCTCGAGGCTGCACTATTTTTGCCAATGTCCTATTGACCAAAGCAAGCCATACGGCAGATTCAGGAGAAAAGAAACAGACCACCTCTTCATGAGAAGATCTGCAAAGTCCACGCAAAGTTCAGGATTCAGGGAGGGGAAACATTTGTCACTACAAATGTCACTCTACCACAGGCACCAATTCCATCCCCCCCCCCTTTCTAGAGCCCTCTCCCTTTCAAGCACATCACCCAATTTCTTTAGAGAAACACTGTCCATTTTCATCCGGGAGATAACTAGGTGGGGTTTGGGGGGCGATGGTGGAAATGCACTTTATTGAGCCATTTGTCAAATCGATTTTATTTTATTTTTTAAAGACTTTGTCTATTTGAGAGAGAGTGCGTGGGGGGGGGCGTGGAGGAGCAGAGGGAGAGGGACAAGCAGACTCCGTCCTAAGTGCGGAGCCCAATGTGGGACTCGGTCTCATGACCCTGAGATCATGACCTGAGCTGAAACCAGCGCTTAACCGACTGAGTCACCCAGGCACCCCTCAAGTAGATTTTAAATAACCAGCTCCTTTGATGCCATCCTCCCACTTCCACTCTCCATACCTGGAGAGTCGGGGTGCTTCCTCCACGAAACCGGCTTTTGCTCCTGCCCCATCCACGCTTTGCCTGAGATTTGCTGGTCCCGAATGATTTTCAGATGGAGCCCATCTGCATTCATTCAGTGAATTTCTCAAACTCTTGATCCTTTATCCTCACCCCTTCCACTAATTTTATGAATGAATTTACTCTGCACTGCTAATTGTTTCTATTTGATTTGGAAAGGTAAACACCTGTGTTCCATTCAGTGTCTCCTACTACAAAAGCCTCTGATTAAATTTAAATCTATTATCTCTAGACCAATATAGCAGTTTAAAAAATGTATTCCTCCCATATGTATTAAGAGTGGGTGATAGCAGATAGAAGAATTAAGGTATATGCACTCTATCATGGGAAAGAAGAGCCAGGAGACTTGTACAATTTCCTAAAGACAATAATTTTGGCCTATTGCTGTTTATAGTCAATGTGTGATGTGAGGGAGGAGGCATTTCCTTTGCTTAATGCATCACTGTAGGCTATTTTGTCTACTTTGGCTTCTCCCAAGGCCATGGTTGAGATTTTATCATTTTCCGGCTGTTTATGCTGTTCTGCCCGCCTCAGGCAAAAATTGGAATATAAAAATAAGGAAAGGGGCCAGGACCTGGGCAGCCTGAAGGGCAGGGAGATAGGGGAGGAGAGGAGAAACCTGCCTAACTATCTCCTTCCTCGCTGTCACCACTGCCCCTGGGGGCTCCAGGACCCGTTAGCCTGTGTGTTCATCGTTACAACCTTTTTACTGGGGAATTGGAAATACTGATTAAAATTAAGACAGCAGGGGTGCCTGGGTGGCTCAGTTGGTTAAGCGCCCCACTCTTGATTTCGGCTCAGGTCTTGATCTCAGGGTGGTGAGTTCAAGCCCCGCATTGGGCTCCCCACTGGGCATAGAGTCTATTTTAAAAAAAAATTAGACTGCAAAACTTTGAGACAGTAACTCCTTTCATACAAACGTGCAAAGATATATGCACATATAACGTCTAACCTTGCTAGTAATTACAATATGCAAATTAAAACAGTGGGATATCCTTTGAGCTATCAGAATGTCAAGGATTTAAAAGAAAATCAATGCCCATTATTAGGAAAGTTGAAAGTGTTCTTGGATACATTAGTACAAGCTGTGTGGAAGGCAGTTCTAACATGTACCAAAATCCATAAACAGATGAAATCCTTTTTATTTTAAGATTTTATTT